GATTAGAATAATAAAATAATATCATCTACTTTCATGATCAAAAATTCTCTCTAAGCTTTCTTTATATATAACCCAGAAAAATACCTCTCTGTTTTGGAAATATTGTGCCTCTGTAAGTTGGGAAAATATGCTAGACAAGCAATTAAAACTTAGTTGTAGTCTAAGTATAAACACAATTAAGGATTGAAGCATGACTAAATGGTAGTTTTTAAAAGTCCTGATAAAAATAAGATGTAATTACAAAAAATTCCTGTACGTACTAAGTCATTTTTCTTCTAAAAAGCTATCTTGGCTTAAAAGGATATATATATATGCAAGCAAGTGTTATAAAGAAACTTAAATGTATTTTTTTTTTGTTTAAAAGTTACCATGAGTTTAGATCTATAGATGTTCTGTGTTAAAATATTAAACATTCCTAAGAAATAAACTAAATAGATGAAAGGGACATCTAAAATTGTAATTATGGGAAAAGCTCCACTTACTACTGAAGTAAAATTCTTCTAATCCTTGGAGAAGATATTTTCTATTTATTAAAATAGTTATCTCTCAGGGATCTCTGAATCAAGACATATTCTTTGATTTTAGCAGACTTTCTGAAATAACATTTTTCTATTGACTTTTAATAAGAATTGATGAAAAATTTCATTTGCACCTTCAGTAAGGTTTTGTCTGTCTACCGGGTACAAGTCCCTGCTCTAAGTATGCAGAGGATATCACAGTGCACAAAATAGACAAGGCTCTTGCTTTCATGGAGCAGACATTTTAGTGGGGGAAGGAGGGAAGGACCAGATAAATAGACAAGAAAAATGTCAAAAGCAGTTTCTGATATGCAGAGACTTAAAATGGCTCTTGCTTTCATGGAGCAGACATTTTAGTGGGGGAAGGAGGGAGGGACCAGATAAATAGACAAGAAAAATGTCAAAAGCAGTTTCTGATATGCAGAGACTTAAAATAGGATGCCGTGCTAGGGAATGGAGATGGGGTGGCCAAGGAAGGCCCCCTAAGAAGGCAGAGCATTTAAACTATCATCTGAATGAAAAGAAGGAGCCAGCCAGGGTTCCATATTTCTAGACATGTGGAACCATTAGTAAAAGTCTGCAAAGTGGGAATGAACTCTGTAAAGAATGTTAAGGCCAGTGTGGCTGGAGAGTAGTAAGTAAGGGGGGAAAAGCATGACCCGGGTCAGAAAGTTAGGCAACAGCTGTCCCTGGGGGCTTTTTTATACCAAGATAAGGAATTTGTTTCTGCCCTAAGTTCAACGGAAGGCCATTGCAAGTCATATGATATGATACACATTTTTTACTCTCTGGCTGTGCTGAAGAATGGGATGGAGGGGGCAAGAGAGGAAGCAGGGAGACCAGTCACGGGGCGGGCGGAGTCTGGGCAAGATGTGATGTGGCGGTGGAAATGGTGAATAGCGGGCACTCTGGGATGTGTCTGAAAAGAAGAGGAAAATGATAAGCTGATGGCTTGGATGTGAGACTCTGGTCATCACGGGATGTGTTTTGGATACATTAATGACTCTTTTATATTTGGGTGTATCTCTTCTTCATCCATAGGACTGAACAACAAAGAATTGCTGATATCTTTGTAAAGAAGGGACCATATCTAAAAATGTATTCCACATACATCAAAGAATTTGATAAGAATATAGCTTTGCTGGATGAGCAGTGCAAGAAAAACCCAGGTTTTGCTGCCGTCGTTAGGGAATTTGAGGTATTTGCAACCATCTAATGTTGAATGTCTCTTTTTCTTTCTGTTTTTGAAGCTTTAATAATTTTTAGCCTTTGAAAACAAACCTTGCAAACAAAAAAGTATTAAAATATAATTCCTTCTAAATCAAAGAAGCAATTGAACAAATTAATTGGTGAGAACTCAAACAGTATACAAAAATTAATTCTGAAAATCTTACTAAACACCAGAATATTTTGACTTGGAAAAATAATATTTTGGTAGGACACTCTTTTTTTTTTGATTGTGGTAAATTACACATAATGTAAACACCATTCTGACCATTTTTAAGTGTATATAGTTCAGTAGTTTTCAATACATTGACATCGTTGTGCAACTGAATCTCCAGAACTCTTTTTGTCTTGTGAAACTGAAGCTCTATAACCATGAAACATTAATTCCCCATTTTCTTCTCCCCCAACCCCTGGCAATCACTCTTCTGCTTTCTGTCTCTGGATTTGATTACTCTGGGAAACATTTCTTATTTTTAACTTAAGCATTCCTTTTAATCTTCTAACCACTAATCTACAATGATGGATGGGAAATAGAATTTGTTTTCCTTTAGATAAATAAATAACAGTTTTAGTGTCAAAGCTAAGAAAAATTAATAACCTGTTTATAATATGAGTCAGCCAAAGCTTTGTGTTTTGACTCGAACCTACAAGGCTGTAAGCTTATATTAGTTTTCAACTAAAATTTTCTTATAGTCCACTCCACCAATTTGGGGTAAAATTTGGGTTACTATATTTTAGTACTTAGTTTTCTGTTTTGAAACTTGAAAGGCCAGTGAATTTCAGTCACAAAAAACTAGAAATGAAAAGTTTAAAAAATATAATGGTATCGTGATTTCTAATTTGTGCAATAGACAAATAACTAAACTTTAAAATCATTTGTAATCTTATTCTTCTTTTCTTCTCCTGTGGTATCTTTATGCTATCAGAAAACAAAGTGTGATATAGTTATAGCAAGTGGTGATTGACCTGAGTTTTGGTCAATGTCCAGTGAGTTGTTCTGTTTCCTTGGCAACAAAAGAAGACGTAAGACTGGGAGAGTTAGCTGCCTTCATCAACAGTGCTTGTTTGAAAGATGCTTCCTTAACATGCATTATCTTTATAATTTCATAATTATTCTGTGTACCAGACAGTAAAGGTGCATATTTAGGTAGAGGTAAAAGTCTGAGCAAATCTGAAAAAACTCTTACCAACCCACCTAGCTGTATAAGAAGCATAGGACATTTTATTTTGGCCCTCAGGATGAAGGGTTATTTTTACTTGATCATTTTGATGCCACCTCACAGTAAACTCGGGTTGGAGAGTGGGGATGAGGCTCAGGAATGGGCAGAGATGTCCATTGTACATACTATGGAAAAGAGCCTTAAAGGCAGAATCAAGTGTCTTTATGGTCAAGTCAAAAATGTGGTTCCACAATCAAATGTTCCTACATATACTCTATGATTTGTAGGCCGTCTTTTATAAGCTCATTCATCTGAAAAAGATTTTTATATCCTTCAGTCTTGTTAGAGAAGGGATGCTTAGCAAGGCTGCTTTTCGGGTTATCTTTAATTTCTGCAATTCTCCCCACCACTGCCCTGTTGTTATTATGAGTATAGTGCCCACAGGCTCTGATTATCATTTGATTTCAATTCCACAGTAGTTTTATTACTGCTGCCTCATTTTGGGGACCATGCATTACCTTCTTGGTCCATTGACGTTATTATGAGTATAGTGCCCACAGGCTCTGATTATCATTTGATTTCAATTCCGCAGTAGTTTTATTACTGCTGCCTCATTTTGGGGACCATGCATTACCTTCTTGGTCCATTGACATTCATCTGTATTTATGAATACATTGGCAAATGCTCCTCTAAGTGGGAGCTGCTGGGGAGAGCAGGCTCTAACTAGCCTAGAACACAGACTGACCTCCACGCTCTGTGAGAGGACTGTGAACAAGTTTCCGGAGGCACAAGAGACCTCCTTACAGGAGAAGGTGGGCTTCGTCATGGATCTGACTTTGTTTTAACTCTCAGCGTAACAGTTGTGCCTTTATAGTAAGACGGAGCTTCTGTATGAATCCCCTTCTAGAGTTGCTGGCTGTTTAAAGTTTCGCTTCCTGAGCACTTGAATCTGGGTCTCTTGCTTCTTAGAAAACACTAGTGTTTACTTTGGATGCCTTTTCCTTTCAGATGAGCCCACGCTGTGCTAACCTGGCCCTAAAACACTACCTCCTCAAGCCGGTTCAGAGGATCCCCCAGTACAGGCTGCTGCTGACAGGTGGGCTTCTTCAGCAGTTTACCAACCAACCAACCAACCAACTCTTGTTGCCTCTATGAAACTCTGCCTTTCCTAAAAGTGCCTCTTTTTAAATCACTCCAGTAACCACTCTGTCTAATATATGGATTTGTAAATTGCTTATATAGCTCACATACACATTTCCTGAACTGAACAGCTTTCAGTTCTTTGATCATTCTTGTGTGCACGTTTGCCTCTGGCCGTTCATATGCGTAATTCCTTACCATCCCAACCCCACATCCCTGCATCATTTTACCTGATTAATATTACTGATCCCAAGAAGATATTTTCTCAACTACTCAAGAATGGGGCTTACAGGGTCATCCCCACATATTTGTTTTATTTATGTATTTAAAAAAATTTTTTTTTCACTCTTACATATTTGTATAGCACTATTATAGCCTTAGCTCCTTACCTGAGAGAGTTGTTATGAAGATTAATCAATGAGCTAAACGTGGACAGTGCTTAGAATAGTGTTTTGGTCATAGCAAGTTCTAAATAAGTATTAGCTGCTATTAGTAGAAGTACTTGCGGTATCCTTATCATTATTATTATTTTTTCATGATTATCTGTCCGTACTTCTACTAGAGTATAAACTTCAAGATTACAAAGCTATGTCTACCTAGTTTACCACTGTAATAGTAGGAAAAAAAAGGAAAGAAAGAAAAGAAAGAAGCTATTATCTGAGTGAAGGCATATGCTGTTCTCAGGGCTTTATTCTTACTGGATTTTTTTTTATTGTCACATAGTTGATAATACATGTCTGTGGGGTACAGAGTTGAATATCAATACCTGTGTGAAATATGTGATGCTCAAATCAGGATAATTAATATATTCAGCATTTTACAATGTAATCATTTTTTATGTCCTTTTAGCAATTTCTCCCTTGTCTCACCCCCACCCCCTCCCCCTTCCCACCTCTGGTAACCTCTCACTGGCTCTTTAAATCCTCACCATAGCCATGCATATATCACAATATTATTTTCATAGATGAGATAACAGGCTTATAGAGATTAGGTGGCTTGGCATCACAAAAAAACTAGGTCCTCTGGAATATTTGCGTGGCTTGATATACATATATAATGTGCATTAAAAATTGTATCGACATCAAGGGTTTGTATCCCCATACCAGCCAGCCACCAAAAAAAATTGTGTTGAAATGGACAAGAACATCTAAATGCCACCACACCTCTAAAGTCAATCTGTTGTAATTTTATATAAGTAGATTTTAAGACACTTGGTTTTTATTAATGTCCTTAATAAATGGTGTGCATTCTTTTCTCATTAACTTAATCACTTTTTCTTAATCCAAGAGCTATATGGAGGTAGTGGGTGAATTTTGGAAAACCAGGATTTCCCTTTTTCCCTTTATGCAAAGGCTTCAGGCCTTTCAAGCTTGCATAGTAAAAAACAGACAGCTGATGGGGGATGGCCTGCCTTTCAACTCCAGAACCTGGCTACCCTAGGTGCGGCAAGTGTTTAATTTGAATTTCTAATTGTGAATTAGGCACTAGATTTCTCTCTGAAATGACACAAAGCAAACCAAATACTTTGAGGATATCCTGTTCATCTGTACTTACTTTTCTCTGCTTTTGGCAGCGATTTAGAATACACAGGACAAAAGGAAGTACTGATACACATGTTGTGTTTTTGCTAGATAAATTCAGTGCTCTGTCATAAACCAGCTATTGAATGGCTTAGGCAATTTCCACAGCTGTCAAATGAAGTACTGTTTTTAGTGGCAAAAAACAACCATGGTTTCAACTGTGAGAAGGATGGAGCAAGATTCTGACGTATTAATGTAAAAATATTTTTTTCCCATACTGTGGCTGATCTAAGCAGAAAAAAAGCTACATATGTTTAATTTAGGTTTAATGCTGAGTTTTTGATTGAGAAATGGTGAAATGACAAAAACAAGTTTTAAAAATTCTCTTTAACATGACTTGGTTGTTTAACATGTGTTATTTCTAACACCAGGTGAAGGGTTCAGATCCCTGTACCAGGCAGTCACCAAAAAAAAAAAAATCCTCTTTAAGACTTAGCTTGTTTTGGGCCGGCCCGGTGGCGCACTGCTACAGTGTGCCGCTTGGGAGCTTGGCGGTGCTCCCGCCCAGGGTTCGGATCCCACATACAGACTGGTTCCCGCTCACTGCCTGAGCGAGGTGCGGGCGCAGCGCC